TATTTATTATTTTGATATTATTTATTTAAATGTATCATTTATTTAATTTATTTTTGTATTGGTTTTTCAGTTGAATTATACGTTCAGGGTAATCAACAGTTAAAAAGATACTGTTCAAATTATTATTTGTATTTGTTTTAAAGTTCAATAAATGGATGTTTTCAAAGTCAATGAATAATCGTATTTAATAATCGTGATATCAATTATTGACCCAAATAATCGTGATTATGATTTTTGCCATAATCGCACAGCCCTACTTTACAGGAGGTGTAGTAAAGGTCCCATTTCATGCTTTTCCGGTTATTACCCGTCCCCTTGTGTGTTATGAAGGTTTTTATGCATGTAAACGGTGTGCAGAGTCACAAACCCTCAAAGTACACCCTGTAGCGAGTAAAACTCTAACACAGAAAAGACCTGTCTATGCTGCCCCAGAATGCCTCGTTGGAGATTTCTCTTTTTCGTCCTGGGTACAGTGACGTGCCCATACCCAAATGGACCCATTGGTCCAAATGGACCAATCAGTGGAGCCATTACGTCACGTCACGTCACGTCACGTCACGTCCGCGTAGCCATTATACACACACACTCAATCTTTTCTCAGCTGCAGCTCCACCGATTTCTCCTCCCCGAGACGGCGGGACGCGGCAAGGCTGTGAGTCGGTGTGTGAGCACACACACATACTCCCAGCCAGGCTGCGGGTGTGGGTGTGTGTTCGGGCTGGGTTTCGCTGTGTCTCGCTGTCGGCCACTGGGCTCATAGGGAGGGGGCGAGGGGGGGGGGCAGGAGCTCCAACAAGCCGTTTAGGACAGAGAGTGAATACACATACTATACAGAGATGCTGTATGAGAAACCAATGTGATTTTGGAAAATTGCACAATATAAATCTATTTTAGTATAACTCAACAATGGAATTATGATCAGTAGAAATGGCCATGACATGGGACCTTTAAACAAGAAAAACATCTTTCAATGTTCACCTGACTGATCAAATCATGATAATAATAAGTTGATGCGTTTCTAGTAACATATGCTTGCTTTCAGAAAGTAGAAATAAATTGGATGAAAAATTGCCCAATTCAATTATTAGTGCGAATGCTGTTTACAGCATTCCACTATAGTACTTCAAATCTTTATTCTTCCCCTTATTATTATTAGTGCGAATGCTGAGCCACAGCATTCCACTATAGTACTTCAATTCTTTATTCTTCCCCTTATTATTATTTCACCAATATTTTGGCTCTCCATAACTTCAGCTTACTTTCAGCTACAGAAACCATTCAAATATCAAACTATTCAGCCTGTTCAGGAATCGATGGGGAACCTTCAACTTTTTAAAAATATGCTATACTTTTTGAAATATTCAGCTTTTTAAACTCTTTTTTTTAACATTGAAGTCAATGGGAGATGCCTTCAAATCCTCTTTTCCTACACTTTGCGCCAAATGCTTCTCCTTCCACATACTTTCAGCTAGACACTTCATTCCAACTTTCAAATGATCACAAGACCTTCAGCTATTCCAACTTGATTTTAATTTTTGATATCTTTTACACTTTTTGAGATAATTAACTTTGTTTGGAGCTTGGTAAAGAGGCTTTCTTCAGATTTTAACATTAGTGTGGATGGAGCAGCTCGTTAAGTCTAGAGTGCTTTGATCTCAAAACAGAGTGCAGCTGTTCTTCAAATTCTCCCCCCAAAAATGTTTTAAACTTGCCATAATTCCCAAACCCTACACTCCTCAGACATATTTTTTCATGAAAAACGGAGGAAAACCTCTCGTAGCTTGAAAAATGACAAACAACAGTGCTAACAGTCCAGCCGTGAAGACATCTACGAGACAGTTTTGAGATTTCTTCAAATGCCGTTGCCATGGCAACACAATGCTCGCCATGAAGCACGATGTCGCTGTAAGTCCAATGGACACGGTCCGATCGTCCCCCAATCTTCACTTGTATATCACCGGTCCATGCCTCAACAGCTCTACGCCAAATCTGAGATCTCACCATATGCCGTTTCCATGGAAACGCATCCCTCGCCATGAAAGACGATGCCGCAATAACTCCTATGAAAATGTTCAAAACGTGCTAAAACTTCACATGTGTGCTAACAGTCCAGCCGTGAAGACATCTAAGGGACAGTTTTGAGATTTCTTCAAATGCCGTTGCCATGGCGACAGACCACTCGCCATGAAGCACGATGTCGCTGTAAGTCCAATGGACACGGTCCGATCATCCCCCAATCTTCACTTGTATATCACCGGGCCATGCCTCAACAGCTCTACGCCAAATCTGAAATCTCACCATATGCCGTTTCCATGGAAACGCATCCCTCGCCATAAAAGACGATGTCACTATAACTCCTATGAAAATGTTCTAAAAGTGCTCAAACTTCACATGTGTGCTAACAGTCCAGCAGTGAAGACATCTACGGGACAGTTTTGAGATTTCTTCAAATGCCGTTGGCATGGAGACAGATAATTCACGTTCAAAGGTTTGCAGTTCAAATATTCTGCTGCTTTTCCAAGCCTTTTTACTTTCTTTTCTTCTCTCATCACACATCCAAGCCCCCAGTGTTCATGTATCATTTCAATCTAAATTCTTCACTTTCTTCTTACACATTACTTTTCAGCATAAAGCATTCCCACTAGCAATTTCTTCAGGAATTGCATTCTCTAGTTAGTGCGAATGCTGTGCGAATATTCTGCTTTCCCAAGCCTTTCTTTTCTCTTTTTAATACAAATTCATTCACTACTACTTACATCTGATATTTAACTACTTCAGCCTATTTTCAGCTGCAGAAACCATTCAACTATTACATTATTCAGCTATTTCAGGACATCAAGGCTATACATGTTGTTTATACCTTTTTTTAAACCTTTTCTTTTAAATATTAAGCTTTTTCTGCATTTTTGTAGCTAAAAGCAGCTACCATTCAGCTAATAACATATTCAGCTTTTTCTGCATTTTCAGCTAAATTCAGCCACAAATGTTCACAGTTTACAGCATTCGCACGCATTTTCTGCAGGAAATGCATTTTCTAGTTTATATTATATAACTTTTTCTGTGAATGGTGTTAGTTTATATTTGAGATAAAGGCTTTGTATGACATGCTTTAGATCAGGGGTTCCCAACCCCCGGTCCGCGGACCGGTACCGGGCCGCGGAGGTGTTACTGCCGGGCCGCGAAATAGCTGTGAGTTTATCGTAATATTTTCAGAATTATAAATATATAAAAATATTTTATCATAATATTTTTTTCAAAAAGTGTTTAATTTTCGCACCTATGCCACCAGTCATATTATTTCATCCAGTAGCTTGTTAATCTTTCACCAGAAAACCGTTGAAAATGGCTTTTATGATGTTCCGAGGGATTCGGCGGCTCAGCCTAAGGTCTCAGCCTCTTGTGCGCACAAGCATGTTACCGGTGTGCCAAGTAGGAAGAGGAGCGCACAGGAGACAACCGTTTGATTGCAGACTGTTATGTTTATGTGGGGAAATGGTGGTGCATACATTATTTGAGATATATTTCAAACTCGGACTTCATTTTAAGGACATGTCGGCCAGGGGTGTAGAGGGAGCTATTTCTTTAAGCACCGGATTGGCAAAACAGGAGAGTAAACCAGTCTGCCTTGATCTATGAATTAATGTCCGGGACTCTCACGGTATCTGCTGCCCGCAGCTGTTTTATAGAAGGAAACCCTCCTTCACTTCATGATTTGGCTGCAGCATCAGGAGGCAGCGGGACGTACTCGGTAAAGAGCTGTGCCTTTTTACGCACCGCCTTCGCTGTGTTTAATTTAACCAGAACAGTTTAAGAGTGACTGCAGGCTGCTACGTGTTAACCACACACACATCTACACACATCGAACTGCCCGATTACTCCCCCTTTTATTAGTTTTATGAAGGAGATGTCCAGTCAGTCACCAAGGCGCATGTGTGTGTATGTGCTCTGCTCAGCTCAGCTCTGTGTGTTCGGTGTGTCTGTCCGACACCGGCATATATGCGGCTGTTCCCAAAATAATTTAGTTTAATCTTAATCTCGATGTAGTGCTAAACTGTCGGGAGTGCACCGGAACGAACGACACTATCATAATATCTTCTGAAAACAAATGCCAGTGACACACACACACACACACACACACACACACACACACACACACACACACACACACACACACACACACACACACACCACACACACACACACACACACACACCACACACACACACACACACACACACACACACACACACACACACACACACACACACACACACACACACACACACACACACACACACACACACACACACACACACACACACACACACACACACACACACACACACCACACACACACACACACACACACACACACACACACACACACACACACACACACACACACACACACCCTTCATAATGCACCTTCTCCTCGTTTTCCCAGCATTCACTGGATTATCCGTAAATCATACAAACAAAACTGAATAACGTCGGTTTTTTGGTTTTCCGAAAAACCAAAAAACAACACTGGTTCTTTTTTAAACTTTGTTAATATGTTTTGGATGCATATTGTTCTAGTATTTGTTCAGGCTGTTACATACAATTAGCCTCTGTTGCTACCTGCTGGTGGTGAGTAAATATTAAAATCAGTTAAAATTGACAACCGGTCCGCGATTTTCTTTTAATGTATCTACCGGTCCTTGGCACAATAAAGGTTGGGAACCCCTGCTTTAGATGACAGGCCAAATACTTAAAATCTTCGATCTTTTGAGCTTCAAAGTTACATTTATTAAAAATGACAGGTTCTGAATAACAGTAGGGCTTCTTCTTCTTCTATTTGAAATGTGCACATTGGCTTTTGCTGTTTTTGTAATAATGCACTGCTTTGGCGCAGTCATGAAGCAGCAGGCTTCAGTGTTGCTCCAGCATGTATAATGTAATAGCTATGATTCACTGAGGATTCCTCCTGTATGTGAGACAGATGAAGAGAATTCAAGCAGCTGTCAGCTTTTCATTTGAGGTTTTAGGGAACTGAGGACAATTTAGATGTGCAAAATAATAAAGAAACCTTTAACATTATATTCTGGAAGATCAGATTTGTTATCTTTAGCATCACAAGCGACAAAATGCTGCTGTACATATTTTATCCTTTGCTTTTTGCATTTCTGAAGACTACTTTTCATATTTTGAAATCAGAAGGTTTTTTCAAACACCTGTATGATCAAACTTCTTGTTACCACCAGCAACACTTGTTTTGCCAGTTTTATGTACGGGGAAACTGAAACCTAGCAAGAGTTTCCTCTATATACACACACACACACACACAGACACAGATCTAACACTCGACAGCAGCAGACTAACAGAGGTGAGCTCTCCTTTTTTCTGATCACTACTTTGTTTTTATTATTTACTTTGGCACTATTTCACATGTTTGGAAGAAGCCTTTGATTCTAGCTTTGCATTTGAGTTTTCTCTCCTCTTCGTGTTACTATCCCTCCACCGCAGCTCAACAAGGAAACGCTGTGTATTAAAACAGTCTACTAGATGTAGTGTAACTTGGTACTCTCTTGATTTGATGAACTCAGGCTGCTGAAGCCCAAAAATAAACTCAGAGAACTTAAACATAAATGTTTTGCTCAATAAGACTGTGGATGCCCTCGTAATGCCTATTGGTCAGTATGAGCAGAAGGGATAACAACAAGAAAAAACAGTTTGAATGTTTACTTGACTGATCCAACCATGCTAATAACCATTTGATGCATATCTTGTTACAATGGCATGTATGCTTTGAGAAAGTACAGATTGGCTGTTAAATGACGCAGTGAACAATAGGGTTTACAAGGTGACTAAAACTCAGATTAAAACTGCAAATGTACGTTGTTTATGCCGTTATGAGGAGATTATTTACAATGTTTTTATTTACTACTAAATTATTATTTTCAAACAATGTACTATATGTTTTTTTTAAATTGAGGATTACATGATGCAGCTTGTCAAAATGTCTCCCACTTTAGGTTAATAATTTTTTTATAAATATTTTTGAATGAATAATGAAAAGTAACCTATACTGTATATAGGGCTCAGAAAATATACAACTGATTCCATGATTTGGCAAGTAAATACAAATGTTTAACATTTCCAATGAAATTATTTCAAATGTTCAAATTTATTATGTGTGCCGTCTACTATAGAAAAGAAAGATGATATAAAAACAATGTTGTAGTCCAATTAATACGGGCCTATGTAATGCCGACAGGGTTGAAGAGTGAAACTCCAGAGCAAGGAAATCACACTTTTTGCTTTTCACCAAGAAGTCATTTTGTGACTACAATATCTTTTAATTCTTAAAACATTGTAATACCCTCAATACATTTTTGTATCATTAAAGGTAGGGTAGGTAAGTTTGAGAAACCGGCTCGAGATCGCTAGAATTTGAAAATACACAACCGGAGAAAATCTGCCACTTCCTTACAGAGCCCCTCCTCCAACACACACGAACGCGCACATGACCAATGAGGGCACGAGATAAGTTTGTGCACAGATGGAAGGCTGACAGGCAGGTAGGCCATCCAGTTATTTTAGCCGGGCTGGCTAAAATGATTGGTCGTGCTTTTTACAGTACTACGGCTTCCACAGATGAAATTTTTTTATGGATTTTTTGTCAAAGCACTTAAGATATTCATTGCTATCGGGATGTTAAGAGCATTCCATGGAATATAACAAAAAGTGTATCTCGAGCCGGTTTCTCAAACGTACCTACCCTACCTTTAAGTAAAAACACCACAAATGAATCTGTTTTTATAAACTTTCTGAACTCTATATTTCTACCTCACAAAAGGACTTTGGACATCTTAATTGAGGGTCAAGTGGACGCAGGATGATGAAGATATCAGGAGGAGTCACTTGGTGCTGTGTAGCTCTGCTCCTCGCCCTGACCTCTGTGTCAGCTGTACAGAAGACGCTCAAATCAATCAATGGTTTGAAGAAAATCAACTTCGGCCAATCTGTGCCCAAGCACAGTCTTCTGCTGCTCCACTGGTTTGCCAACGAGATCGACATCGACAACAACGATATTATACAGCTGAGCTTTGACCCAAACAGTGGAGATTATGGCTCACACCATTATGGCAACTATGAGGATCTGCTGGACCCACTGCCTCAAGGAAATCAATACCATTACTACACGATTGGAAATCTCCATCAGGGAACGTCCAATCCACTTCCAGCGTATGTAGTGCATCCCGGAACGGATTATGAAGGACAAAACAGGGACAGGATCATAGTTCGAGTCAGGGAGCAAAACCGAGGGCAAGCTTACCGGACGATAGACGAAGTGTATATCACACAGCATTATGACACTTCTGAAAATCAGGGGACACCTTATGATCCAGATCATACATACAGCATCACCCCTAACCTCCTGAGACAGATCAGAGAGTTTGCTGTGGGACAAAACCAACTGTCGCATCTCAGAAACCGCTTTGGAAGCAGCGCTGATGATGAACAAATCAGAAACACATGGGGTCACCTTGCTTGCCTTGGACTGCTGCTGTATATTGTGATCCAGGAAAAGCAGTCCTCTAAGCAACAAAACAACCGACCAAAAAACAGAAGAAATCCTAGTAATAAGAGAGAGCACAATGTTCCTAGAAATGAGAGACAGCACAATGTTCCTAGAAATGTCCAAAACCAGGGTCATGTTGTAGTGAATATGGGCGATTATGAGGACCGTGTAGCCAGCAGGCGACCGGTAAACACAGAATCAGACTGTTGCAACACCTATAAATCCTGTATAATCTGTTGTTTTTGTTGTTTTTCCTGCATAACTTTAATTGTATCGGGTATAATTATTTATTTTTTTGTTATAAAAAAATGATACAAAAATGTATCTTGAGGGCTCCTGGGAAGAAAACCAAAACCCACTTTTGTATTTAATGGTGCGTTCACACCCGATGCGATGCTTGGGGGCGGCGTGATTACATGTAAAGTCAATGCAGCGATGTGGACAGACGCGAATTCGCTCCGACGGCGCAAATGACGAGGTTGACGCGAATGCCGCAGCTTGATTGAGGCGATTGAAGGGGGCCGCGAAAACCGCTCGAGTTAAACATTTTCAACTCGAGCGTCAAATTTGCGTGACGCGATCTCGCGGTAGCCAATCAGCGGTGAGGATCTCAGCCTGCGGTCACTGACGTTGAACCAGAAAACCAAAACATCAGCCCTTAGTTGTTAGCACTCAGAGCTCACAGCTCCTCATATCTTTTCAGAAACTAGACAAAAGTTAAACAAGTACAAACCACAGAGTCTCTGTGTCATGGTGAATACAGTCGCTGGTTTATTTATGTCTGTAGGCCGTTGTGAGTGTGGACGGAGCATATGAAACGTTAGCTTAGCCCGATCGATCCGATCTCCATTCAGAAAACACGCATTTTAAAAGGTTTTTCGCCTGCCGTCTTGTCTGCAGACTTATCAAAGCATTAATTCATGGTTTTTACTAACCGGTATCAGTATGTTGTTACTTCGGCATCATTTTGAAACGTGTATTACAATTCAATCACGGTCAAATATGTTCATTGTGTTGTAGTTGTAGCTCCCTGGCCAGCGAGTCTTGTTTGAATGATGCGAGTAAACACAGCTGACAGCCGCGGTGAAACTCGAGCGTTTAAAGCGAAGCGAATATTCGCATCGCGTACGGTGTGAACGCACCATAAGAGACTGCTCTGAAAGCAACACTGATGATTTCCACCTCACAAACAGTATTAAAACAAACCAGAAAACAGACAAATTGATTGGGGCTCTGCATTTTTTTTGTATTTAATTTGTTTATTTCTGCATTTTGAGTGCATTTAGAAACAAAGATAACATTAAAACAGGGAGTGTAAAGATATTGTTCAACACCTGAACATCCTGCAAGGGTTGTTCTGATGTATGTCTTGTTTCGTCTTCATACTTTTGATTTCCTTTGTGTACTATTTAATCTTTTTGGTGAATGTTGTTTTGGTATAACATGCTTTGAATGAAAAGTGAAATTCTTTAATCTTCAAATCTCAAACTGTGCGTTATGAAAGGCTGAGAGTCTTTAGAACTTAATAGCTCCATTTATTCATAAATATAGTTTGTAAATAACAGCAGGGTTTTTTTCTTTTATTTCACATTATATCGCACTGCTTTGGCACGGTCATAAAGCTCTAGGGTTCAGCATTAATAATCCAATAGCAATGATTAACTGATGATCTTTACAATGTCTGATACAGATGAATAGAATACAATGTCACTTATTAAAAAATGAAACTGTGAATGGCTCTAAGGTCATTTGAGGACAGCCGTCACTGACATGAACGCATTCCATTTAGTGCTTTTTTTACTTTCTGTTATGTTGGAAATTGTATGTGTTTGTTTATTAAAGTGTATTTTATCAGTCAGACTGATGTCAGCTTTTTATTTCAACTTTAAGGAAACTGCATGAGCACAAGTGAGATACATTTGAAGCTGCATTCTGAATCATCTGGTTTGTTCTCTTTGAAAGCATATATAACAAGAGCTGCTATTGCCAGAATGTTTCTGTCTTTATCTCCCAGAGAGTCAAATAAAGACTTTTCCCGGGCATGTCAACAAAAGCAGCCAATTCCCACAGTGGTATTTGACGACACTTTCAGCTATAGATTCCTCACATTTAGTGATCAAGAGTTGCAACACAGATATTGACACTCATGTCATGTATTTAAGAAGAAAGTTATAAGTTGAGAGCAAACTTTGAACAGTGAACTTTTAGAGAAACAACAGTCTGTGTATCTGTTCTATCTGAAGTTGTCTGTTTTGTTCTCGTCTGTATCGACTGTATGTTCAGGGGCAGAGGAGGTCTAGGGACACACCTGTATAATGCCAATTCATATATAAACAATAATAATTAAAAAAACATGTGAAAATAAAAATAAAAAGCTCAAAGTCTGGCACTATTACAAAACTAAAAGGACACACTCACTGCCACAGGATAGTTTGCACCATAAACCCGCTCATTAACATGATCGAGAAACAGAATCTTACAGAATATGTGCTCTAAAAACTGTAGAAATAAATAATCCTACTGTACGGCACATAACTGTTAAACCCCAATTACAGGATGAAAGGGAGGACTCTTCCTCTTATCTTGAAAACAGAAGGACGTTTCATGCAAACAGCTGTGTGATCAAACTTCCTGGAACCACCAGCAAGTTGCAGCAACCCTTGTTTTGCAGGTTTCATTTACAGAAAAAAACTTCACCTAGAAAGAGTTTCATCTACACTCGCACACAGTCAGAGATCTGATACTTGACAGCAGCAGACTAAGGCAGGTGAGCTCTCTTATTTTCTAATCAGTAGTTTTTATTATGTACTTTGGATTGGTGAAGCTTTTGAATCCACGTTTGCTTTTGAGTGTTCTCTTCTCTTTGTGTTACTATCTCTCCACCGCAGCTCAACAAGGACACGCTGACACAAATGAACTGTAACTTTATAGGAGGTGTATTAAACAAGAAAAACATCTTTCAATGTTCACCTGACTGATCAAATCATGATAATAATAAGTTGATGTGTTTCTAGTTACATATGCGTGCTTTCAGAAAGTAGAAATAAATTGAATGAAACATATTTTTCAGATTTACTGTGTGGCTTCTAATATTTAAAAAGAGGTAATTAAAAACGTTCCTTTACAAATGATAAATTAGCAATATGTCCACCCTGTAGCCACTACTGTTCACTTTCTGAGGATGAATTCTTACAATTAGGGATAAATATGACTAAGGCAAGACAATCTGTCAATAGGATATCACACTTGTTGTAGCTTATAGAACTTTCTCTTATTTCTACTTCAAAGCCTTTGGTTATCTAAATTGCATTTCTTGTCCATACAGGATGATGAAGATATCAGGAAGACTCACTTGGTGCTGTGTAGCTCTGCTCCTCGCCCTGACCTCTGTGTCAGCTGTACAGAGAGAGCTGAATTCAATCAATGATTTGAAGAAAATCAACTTCGGCCAATCTGTGCCCAAGCACAGTCTTCTGCTGCTCCACTGGTTTGCCAACACAGTTAACATTGATGAGAACAATGTCATAAGTCTGACCTTTGATCCAAACAGTAGAGCTTATGGCTCACATCATTATGGCAACTATGAGGGGCTGCTGGACCAACTGACTCGGGGAAATCAATACAGGTACTACACTATTGGCAGTCTCAGTCAAGACCAATCCATGCAACTTCCACCTTATGTTGTCCGTCCTTCGAGGCAGTATGATGGAGAAAACAGGGACAGGATCATAGTTCGTGTCAGGGAGCAAAACACTGGATGGCAAGTTTTTCGGAGGATAGACCAAGTGTATATCACACAGCATATTCCGAATCATGCGGAATATGATCCAGATCATACCTACAGCATCACCACTAACCTCCTGAGAGAGATCAGAGAGTTTTCTGTGGGACCAAACCAACAGCCACTGTCGTATCTCAGAAACCGCTTTGGAAGCAGCGCTGATGATTTCGACATCGAAACTGCATGGGGTCAGCTTGCTTGCCTTGGCCTGCTGCTGTATATTGTGCTCGGGGAAAGGCACCCCTTTACCCCACAATCCAACTACACAACGCAATCCAGACAACAAAGCGCCTACACGCCAGATAACAGACAAACTAGTTGGTGTGCAGCTTTTGTGAAGTGCTGCATGTTTGTTGTTGTTTTAATTGGTCTTTTTATTTTGGCAATTTCTGCAGCAAGGAGATAATTTGAAATGAGAGAAATTGCCATATAATGTGTTTAAGCCTAATGTTTCTCACAAAGTCAGCAGGATTCAAAAGTTGATGGGAAGAAGGAAACACACAATGTCCAGGGGTTCTTCTGTTTTATGCTTTGTTTTACATTTTAATTTGTATTATATAACCTTTTTTGTGAGTGGTGTTAGTTTATATTTGAGATAAAGGCTTAAAGGCCAAATACTTAAAATCCTCGATCTTTTGAGCTTCAAAGTTACATTTATAAAAAATGACAGGTTCTGAATAACAGTAGGGCTTCTTCTTCTTCTATTTGAAATGTGCACATTGGCTTTTGCTGTTTTTGTAATAATGCACTGCTTTGGTGCAGTCATGAAGCTGCAGGCTTCAGTTTTGCTCCAGCATGTATAATGTAATAGCTATGATTCACTGAGGATTCCTCCTGTGTGTGAGACAGATGAAGAGAATTCAAGCAGCACTGATTGATAAACCAAACAGATCGGTGAATGACTGTACGGTCTGCAAAGGACAGCCGTCACTGACATGGATGCATTTAACTTTTTATACTTCCTGTAATGTCATAAATTGTGTGTGTTTATTAAATTGTAATGTGTCAGTAAGACTGGTGTCAGCTTTTCATTTGAGGTTTTAGGGAACTGAGCACAATTTAGATGTGCAAAATAATAAAGAAACCTTTAACATTATATTCTGGAAGATCAGATTTGTTATCTTTGCTGTACATATTTTATCCTTTGCTTTTTGCATTTCTGAAGACTACTTTTTATATCTTGAAATCAAAATGTTTTGTTCACTTGTATGATCAAACTTCCTGTGACCACCAGCAGCACTTGTTTTGCCAGTTTTATGTACGGGGAAACTGAAACCTAGCAAGAGTTTCCTCTATATACACACACACACACAGATCTGACACTCGACAGCAGCAGACTAACAGAGGTGAGCTCTCCTATTTTCTGATCACTACTTTGTTTTTATTATTTACTTTGGCACTATTTCACATGTTTGGAAGAAGCTTTTGATTCCAGCTTTGTATTTGAGTTTTCTCTCCTCTTCGTGTTACTATCCCTCCACCGCAGCTCAACAAGGAAACGCTGTGTATTAAAACAGTCTACTAGATAGAGTGTAACTTGGTACTCGTTTGATTTGATGAACTCAGGCTGCTGAAGCCTCAAAATAAACTCAGAGAACTTAAACATAAATGTTTTGCTCAATAAGACTGTGGATGCCCTCGTAATGCCTATTGGTCAGTATGAGCAGAAGGGATAACAACAAGAATAAACAGTTTGAATGTTTACTTGACCGATCGAACCATAATAACCATTTGATGCATATCTTGTTACAATGGCATGTATGCTTTGAGAAAGTACAGATTGGATGTTAAATGACGCAGTGAACAATAGGGTTTCAAGGTGACTAAAACTCAGATTAAAACTGCAAATGTACGTTGTTCATGCCGTTATGAGGAGATTATTTACAATGTTTTTATTTACTACTAAATTATTATTTTCAAACAATGTACTATATGTTTTTTTTAAATTGAGGATTACATGATGCAGCTTGTCAAAATGTCTCCCACTTTAGGTTAATTCTTTTTTTCATAAATATTTTTGAATGAATAATGAAAAGTAACCTATACTGTATATAGGGCTCAGAAAATATACAACTGATTCCATGATTTGGCAAGTAAATACAAATGTTTAACATTTCCAATGAAATTATTTCAAATGTTCAGATTTATTATGTGTGCCGTCTACTATAGAAAAGAAAGGATGATATAAAAACAATGTTGTAGTCCAATTAATACGGGCCTATGTAATGTCGACGGGGTTGAAGAGTGGCACTCCTGCAGAGCAAGGAAATCACACTTTTTGCTTTTCACCAAGAAGTCATTTTGTGACTACAATATATTTTAATTCTTAAAACATTGTAATACCCTCAATACATTTTTGTATCATTAAGTAAAAACACATTAAATGAATCTGTTTTTATAAACTTTCTGAACTCTATATTTCTACCTCACAAAAGGGCTTTGGACATCTTAATTGAGAGTCAAGTGGACCCAGGATGATGAAGATATCAGGAAGAGTCACTTGGTGCTGTGTAGCTCTGCTCCTCGCCCTGACCTCTGTGTCAGCTGTACAGAAGACGCTCAAATCAATCAATGGTTTGAAGATAATCAACTTCGGCAAATCTGTGCCCAAGCACAGTCTTCTGCTGCTCCACTGGTTTGCCAACGAGATCGACATCGACAACAACGATATTATACAGCTGACCTTTGACCCAAACAGTGGAGATTATGGCTCACACCATTATGGCAACTATGAGGATCTGCTGGACCCACTGCCTCAAGGAAATCAATACCATTACTACACGATTGGAAATCTCCATCAGGAAACGTCCAATCCACTTCCAGCGTATGTAGCACATCCCAGAACCGATTATGAAGGACAAAACAGGGACAGGATCATAGTTCGAGTCAGGGAGCAAAACCGAGGGCAAGCTTACCAGACGATAGACGAAGTGTATATCACACAGCATTATGACACTTCTGAAAATCAGGGGACACCTTATGATCCAGATCATACATACAGCATCACCACGAACCTCCTGAGAGAGATCAGAGAGTTTGCTGTGGGACAAAACCAACTGTCGCATCTCAGAAACCGCTTTGGAAGCAGCGCTGATGATGAACAAATCAGAAACACATGGGGTCACCTTGCTTGCCTTGGACTGCTGCTGTATATTGTGATCCAGGAAAAGCAGTCCTCTAAGCAACAAAACAACAGCCCTGAAAACAGAAGAAATCCTAGAAATGAGAGACAGCACAATGTTCCTAGAAATGTCCAAAACCAGGGTCATGTTGTAGTGAATATGGGCGATTATGAGGACCGTGTAGCCAGCAGGCGACCGGTAAACACAGAATCAGACTGTTGCAACACCTATAAATCCTGTATAATCTGTTGTTTAATTGTATTGGGTATAATTATTTATTTTGTTGTTATAAAAAAATGATACAAAAATGTATCTTGAGGGCTCCTGGGAAGAAAACCAAAACCCACTTTTGTATTTAATGGTGCGTTCACACCCGATGCGATTTTTGGGGGCGGCACGATTACATGTAAAGTCAATGCAGCGATGCGGACAGACGCGAATTCGCCCCGACGGCGCAAATGACGCGGTTGACGCAAATGCCGCGGCGTAATTGAGGCGATTGAAGGGGGCCGCGAAAACCGCTCGAGTTACATTTTTTCAACTCGAGCGTCAAATTTGCGTGACGCGATCTCGCGGTAGCCAATCAGCGGTGAGGATCTCAGCCTGCGGTCACTGACGTTGAACCAGAAAACCAAAACATCAGCCCTTAGTTGTTAGCACTCAGAGCTCACAGCTCCTCATATCTTTTCAGAAACTAGACAAAAGTTAAACAAGTACAAACCACAGAGTCTCTGTGTCATGGTGAATACAGTCGCTGGTTTATTTATGTCTGTAGGCCGTTGTTGTGAGTGTGGACGGAGCATATGAAACGTTAGCTTAGCCCGATCGATCCGATCTCCATTCAGAAAACACGCATTTTAAAAGGTTTTTCCCCTGCCGTCTTGTCTGCAGACTTATCAAAGCATTAATTCATGGTTTTTACTAACCGGTATCAGTATGTTGTTACTTCGGCATCATTTTGAAACGTGTATTACAATTCAATCACGGTCAAATATGTTCATTGTGTTGTAGTTGTAGCCCCCTGGCCAGCGAGTCTTGTTTGAATGATGCGAGTAAACACAGCTGACAGCCGCGGTAAAACTCGAGCGTTTAAAGCGAAGCGAATATTCGCATCGCGTACGGTGTGAACGCACCATAAGAGACTGCTCTGAAAAACACTGATGATTTCCACCTCACAAACACTGTTTTTTTTTTTAAAAAGAACTACAAACCAGAAAACAGACCAATTGATTGGGGCTCTGCATTTTTTTTGTATTTAATTTGTTTATTTCTGCATTTTGAGTGCATTTAGAAACAAAGATAACATTAAAACAGGGAGTGTAAAGATATTGTTTAACACCTGAACATCCTGCAAGGGTTGTTCTGATGTATGTCTTGTTTCGTCTCCATACTTTTGATTTCCTTTGTGTACTATTTAATCTTTTTGGTGAATGTTGTTTTGGTATAACATGCTTTGAATGAAAAGTGAAATTCTTTAATCTTCAAATCTCAAACTGTGCGTTATGAAAGGCTGAGCGTCTTTAGAACTTAATATCTCAATGTATTCATAAATACAGTTTGTAAATAACAGCAGGGTTTTTCTTTATAATTTGAACTGAACACATTGGCTTTTATTGCATATTATAACGCACTGCTTTGGCACGGTCATAAAGCTCTAGGGTTCAGCATTAATAATCCAATAGCAATGATTAACTGATGATTTTTACAATGTCTGATACAGATGAATAGAATACAATGTCACTTATTAAAAAATGAAACTGTGAATGGCTCTAAGGTCATTTGAGGACAGCCGTCACTGACATGAACGCATTCCATTTAGTGCTTTTTTACTTTCTGTTATGTTGGAAATTGTGTGTGTTTGTTAATTAAAGTGTATTTTATCAGTCAGACTGATGTCAGCTTTTTATTTCAACTTTAAGGAAACTGCATGAGCACAAGTGAGATACATTTGAAGCTGCATTCTGAATCATCTGGTTTGTTCTCTTTGAAAGCATATATAACAAAAGCTGCTATTGCCACTATGTTTCTGTCTTTATCTCCCAGAGAGTCAAATAAAGACTTTTCCCGGGCATGTCAACAAAAGCAGCCAATTCCCACAGTGGTATTTGAGGACACTTTCAGCTATACATTCCTCACATTTAGTGATCAAGAGTTGCAACACAGATATTGACACTCATGTATTTAAGAAGAAAGTTATAAGTTGAGAGCAAACTTTGAACAGTGACCTTTTATAGAAACAACAGTCTGTGTATCTGAAGTTGTCTGTTTTGTTCTCGTCTGTATGTTCAGGGGCAGAGGAGGTCTAGGGACACACCTCCTGTATAATGTCAATCCATATATAAACAATAATTAAAAAAACATGTGAAAATAAAAATTAAAAGCTCAAAGTCTGGCACTATTACAAATCTAAAAGGACACACTCACTGCCACAGGATAGTTTGCACCATAAACCCGCTCATTAACATGATCGAGAAACAGAATCTTACAGTGTCTGTCCTCTAAAAACTGTAGAAATAAATAATCTTACTGTACGGCACATAACTGTTAAACCCCAATTACAGGATGAAAGGGAGGACTCTTCCTCTTATCTTGAAAACAGAAGGACGTTTCATCCAAATGGCTGTGTGATCAAAGTCTACTTCCTGGAACCACCAGCAAGTTGCAGCAACATTTGTTTTGCAGGTTTCATTTACAGAAAAAAACTTCACCTAGAAAGAGTTTCATCTACACTCGGAGATCTGATACTTGACAGCAAACTAACGCAGGTGAGCTCTCTTATTTTCTAATCAGTAGTTTTTATGTACTTTAACTTTGGATTGGTGAAGCCTTTGAATCCACGTTTGTTTTTGAGTTTTCTCTCCTCTTCGTGTTACTATCCCTCCACCGCAGCTCAACAAGGAAACGCTGTGTATTAAAACAGTCTACTAGATAGAGTGTAACTTGGTACTCGTTTGATTTGATGAACTCAGGCTGCTGAAGCCCGAAAATAAACTCATCCAACCTAAAAATACATTTTTGCTCAATATGAAGACATCACTTTTATTTTTCTGCAATTTTCTAAATGACACAGGATGTTTCTACACAGTGTCATTCTTAAGAAATACCTATTAAAACTCTCACTTTTGTTTAGGGGTCTTTTAGGGTTGTAATGTATGATATCGTATAAAAAAAATCACATACTTGAAAATGGCTCCATAATGATGGTAATTGGGGGTTGACATTGGCTGCCGGACCATTTTAGGACAGAAAGATCCAAAGTATAATAATCAAATTCATGTTATTTTTTGTTTTAAAACATTTGTTGACAAAACTCGTACAATAATGCCGGTGGGACCTAATTTAGGTTTTATTTGATAAAAACATTTTCTGCATTTCATCAAAAAAGATCCAGACAATCTTCTGATAATTTCTGACTAGAATGTCTTACCATTTTTAAATGTTGTATTACCCTGAATAGCTATTTGTATCATTTGATAAACAGACACTATTAGTTTCTATAAATCTGATTTGTATAAACATTTCCTTGTTTTTACTCCATAAAGGCCTTTGGACATCTAAATTGCATGTCACTTTGATACAGGATGATGAAGATATCAGGAAGAGTCACTTGGTGCTGTGTAGCTCTGCTCCTCGCCCTGACCTCTGTGTCAGCTGTACAGAGAGAGCTGAATTCAATCAGTGATTTGAAGAAAATCAACTTTGGCCAATCTGTGCCCAAGCACAGTCTTCTGCTGCTCCACTGGTTTGCCAACACAGTTAACATTGATGATAACAATGTCATAAGTCTGACCTTTGACCCAAACGATGGGGATTATGGTTCACATTATTATGGCAACTTTGAGGAGCTGCTGGACCCACTGCCTCGGGGATACCATTACTACACTATTGGAAATCTCCATCAGGAAACGTCCAATCCACTTCCACGTTATGTAGCGCATCCCCAAAGGGAGTATGACGGAGAAAACAGGGACAGGATCATAGTTCGTGTCAGGGAGCAAAACACAGGATATCAAACTTTCCGGAGGATAGACCAAGTGTATATCACACAGCATAATCCACAGCGTTTTCAACATCAGGGGGAATATGATCCAGCTCATACCTACAGGATCACCGTTAACCTCTTGAGGCACATCAGAGAGTTTTCTGTGGGACAAAACCAACAGTCACTGTCGTATTTCAGAAACCGCTTTGGAAGCGGCGCTGATGATGCACAAATCAGAAACACATGGGGTGACCTTGCTTGCCTTGGCCTGCTAGGTACTGTGCTTGAGGAAAGGCACCCCTTTACCCCACAATCCAACCACACAACGCAATTCAGACAACAAAGCGCCTACACACCAGATAACAGACAAACTGATTGGTGTGCAGCTTTTGTGAAGTGCTTCATGATCGTTGTTGTTCTTTTAATTTGTCTTTTTATTTTTATATGTCTGCATACACTTGAAATGAGAGAGGGTAAATAAATTGCCATATAATGTGTTGAAGCCTAATGCTTCTCACAAAGTCAGCAGGATTCAAAAGTTGATTGGGAAGAAGGAAACATACACAATGTCCAGGGGTTCTTCTGTTTTATGCTTTGTTTTTTACTTCTGTGTTTAATTGTAATTTGTACTATATAACTTTTTTTGTGAATGGTGTTGACTTAACATACATCCGAGTTCTCGGGAAACAAAACATAAATAAAATAAATCAGGAATTCCCAATACACAAATTTGCAAATTTGACCTCTTAGAAACAAAGACAAAGAATAAATAAGGAGAAAATGTATACGATTACAGTGTTAACAGTTATGGATCATAATCCAAGCAGGTTAACCTCTCAAAAGTCCAGTGCCAGTGGTCCTGGTATCATATGAAACTAGACAAAAACCTGAGGAATGAATTGGTAAAACAATGTTTCAAAGTTTGGCTTAATGTTGTGTATGCGTCTGAACATCCCCAGTTCACCGCGCCTACGCCTTAAAAAAACGGTAAATTGTAATGATACAAATTGGATGTAGTCCAAGAGACTCTGCTTTTATTGCAAATGATAATGCACTGCTCTGGCGTGTTTATAAAGCTCAAAGCTGCTTTCATTCAACGAGGTCATGTTCCAGCATGTATGATCTAATAGCAATGATTCACTGGTGATTAATCCTGTGTTTGATAGACATGAAGAGCATTTAGATTGTTCTGATTGTGTTTCATTTATGTATAATGTATGAGGAAGTAATAATTTAACATCTTCTGTACGTTTCAAAATGGTGTTGTTTTATTAAACTAAAATGTATCAGTAAGACCAATGTCAGTGTTTTTATTTTAGAATTTAAGGAAACTGGATGAGCACAAGTTAGATTTTCAAAATCGTAAAATAGGGGAGTGTCTGTTTTTTTTTTTTTTATACACAGCCGAGTCTCGTGCAAAACACAAACCCACACACAGCTTAAGGATTTATCAGAAAGACATTTAGCATCCCTTGTGACATGCACAAGTGCTTGTTTCTAGCCAAGTCCAAGGCAAGCCTATCAAAAGACCTTTATGTTGGTGTGGAAGAGATGAATACTGTGTTAATGCGCTGAAACTAGGATAGCACTCAGCAGGCCAGCACAAGACCCAACAGATCAGAAGATAATGAGTCATCTCGAAAAACTGTTGCAGACTCAGCTTAAAATAAATAATAATCAAAGGTTCCTTTCAAGAGTCATGGAGTCCGGAGCCAATTGTTAATCACAAACAGGCACTGCTGTTTGATTGGAAGAAAAGGCTCTAAATGCTGACATATAATCATCTATTCTTATCATTTCCCCTACATGTGTTCAATAACCAGATCAGTGTGAGGAACAATGGTAGTGTGCAGAAAACATATTTTTCCTGCCAGAAAAAAAGTCATTGTGCATTTGTAAACATCAAATTTAAACTTCACATTTAAGATGTTTACTTTTCAGTTTACTCTAGGAGCATTCTTGGAAATGTACTGAACTGAAACACATCTGGTTTTCAGTAATGCTTACAGTTCAAATGATGAACACAGGTATCTCAGTTAATATGTGTACAAGTTACAAACATGAGAGTTAGCGATGCAACTAACCGTTATTTTAAAATCACGGGAAATGTAAAAACACAATAAATAACTTGATTATCCTTTGTTAACATTTTCAAACTTCTTTTATCTGACCAACAGTTCAGAACTTAAAAGAAACTTTAAAAAATGATATACAATACAATCAAAATCGAGAAAAGCTGAAGTATTAATGTGCATAGTGCTTGTTTTTTTTCTGTGGATAAATATGTTGTTATCGTTTCTTTGTATGTACGGGCCATCGTGTGCCGTGTAAAACTAAATACGCTTAAGCTGATAACATTGAAGTTCATTTGGCCAAGATGTGTATATCCTTAAAACAAGGTGCTTAATATTATTTTTTAGAGCAGTTACAGAGGATTTTTTATCTTACTTCTTGAGATCAAACCGGTTTCAGTGTCAGTAATTAGAGGAAGTGGGTGGATGTTGGCATGGCAATGGATTATGTTGACATTCTGATCTTGAAAGTGCCGTGTTGTGCCAGTCAAAAGAAATCTCCCTTTCGTAATCAAGGCAAGAATCTAGGCTCGGCCATAATGAGCTTATTAAACAAAGTAAGTAAATATTAGGGGCGATATGAAAATGGATTTAACTGCGTTTAAATATTTGCTCTGTTTAACAAATAGAATAGTCCCAAGATAACAGGTAATCAGATAAAGAGAGTTATAATTGAAAGTAAATGATTCAGCCATCTAAAGAGTGGTTGTTTATGTCTGTTGAAAGGTCTACATGGAGCTGTATGTGTAGTGTTGGCTACAGGCAGCCGTGACAAGATCAAATATGAAACAAAACCTTCAGAAAGTTATACGGGTTTTTAGATTCCAAAAAAAAACTGAAGAACTTTGGATACATTATTTTCTCTATGGTCTTGATGTTTAGGATGTAAACAATAGATTTAGCAACATGCTACATGCTATGTTATGTGTCACAACAGTCAAAGTAATAAAAAAAAAGGGACGGGATGGGACAGGAAGCTAAGTTGAGAAATGTGCAGAATGAATGATTTGTGTCAGTCTGTACACATGGGATCACATTCTGTTGAAGCACACCAAGAATGAATACAGCTGCTCGCCATTATAGCCACCAAAAAAAACAAAAATCAGTGAGACAGAGCTGTCATTACAGCACCTTGTACTTTACAACAGCTGCCACAAAAAACAACCCTGGGTGAGACTTTTTTTTAACCTTGTGTAGGGAAGAATGTACGTATGTATACTTTCAGTTTATACTAGGGCTGCTCAATTAATCGTATTTTAATCGCAATTACGATTTTGGCTTGCAACGATTACGAAAACAACGTAATCGAAATAAAACGATTATTTTTTTATTATTATAAAAAAAATTGTAATTATTTTTATTCATTTTTTATAGTTTTTTTTAGTTGAATTATACTTCAAGTTCAGGGTAATCAACTAATAAAAACATACTGTTCAATTTTTATTTTCAATAAATGGATGTTTTCAAAGTAAATGGATAATCGTTTTTAATAATCGTGATATCAATTATTGACCCAAATAATCGAGATTATGATTTTTGCCATAATCGAGATTATGATTTTTGCCATAATCGAGCAGCCCTAGGTTATACACTGAATAATTGTATTGCACATGATCACACACACACAAATAGCACAGAGCACCAGGAGGCAGGTAGATCCCAATTACTTTTGATAATGAGCCCTCAGTGCAATGGGCCAAATGGGACAGAACAAAAGCACACTGCTAGGATCCCACCGGATACAGAGCTGATACAAGCAGGGAAAGTAAACAACAGATGCTTCACCTGAAAACATTCAGTTTTCCTCTTTTAAATATACAAAGCAATTGAAAAAAAAGTGTTTGGCCTGAATCTGTGTCGTGTGTACTTGTTGAGGAAATGGAAAGTCAATTGTAGTTTTGGGCAAGTCGTCAGAGCTGTGTGGTCTGTCGGTTAGGTTTTACTCCCAAAGGCTGGAGGTTAAAGAGGGCTTCTCTCATTTTGTTTTTCTCCCTGCAGACTCAAAACTCAAACTCTCTTTAATGCACGCTGTATGTCTTTCTCTCCAATGTTCTTCCTCTTTCTTTCTGCCCGCTGAACCTCCTTCTCAGTCTTTCCCTCCCTCTTATCTGCTCTGCGTTTCTTCCAAAGCTTCTTTCTAGCAGCCCTCCCCCCCCCCCCCCCCCCTTCCCTGCATGTGCACAGCTGAGTTGGAAGGTGGGAATCTGAGCCAGATTTGGCAGAAGTTGAGACTTAATCTTATCAGTTTTCCTCGCTTATTTTCCTCTCTACTGACACAAGGCCACACATCAGATATTTAGTATGCATATTTGCTGAATGGCTCACCAATATGATGGTAATTGAGAAAAATATAGGAGAGAAATATCCTCAGTAAAAGGCAGAAATGAAAGTAAATCCCTAGCTGTCTGCGAAGGAAGCACAGTGGATAGAGAGCAACACAGAGTCGAAAATTGGAGGCTTTCTATTTTTATGTTGAAAGTTTTATGACCTCCAGATTTGGAATGTATCACCTCCCAGACGCCTACGCCTGGATACTACACAAGTGAGAGCAACCCATGAGCACAGCTGTCTTCAGATAACAGCACTATACACACACAAACAGTAATGCACCGTACAAAGACGAGCCCTTCTAATAGGAAAAGTTGGGGAATGAAACGGCATAAAACCACTGCATACACATCAGCACAAGTAAACACACACATTTTTCCACCATAACAGAACCAAATCTACTTGTAATTGAACACATTGAAAAGATTAAGCATGCTGATGACACTGACACATAACCTATGCTCCGTAATTCCCAGCTTTGCACATTGAGTTCTACTAAACCAAAAAGGAAAACAAGACTAGCTTAGAGGCCTGCTAAGAGCCCTAGAGGCTGCAATTCATTACACCCCACAGTAACAAAGAAGCAGATGAAATAAACATACTGGCAATTTTGGTCAAAAGGACCTTGCCAATAATTCAGATAAAAATGCTGTGTTTGTCCAGAGGGTGGCACTAAAAGAACAGAGATGGAATAACTTTAATATATATATCAAGTTTCATCCACTGAGGACGAGGAATATCCAACATAATTCATGGAAATTCAGCTATAAATGTGATCACCTTGTTGTTGCTCCAGAGCGAAGAATAGTGGTGTTATTAAAAAAGGAGGGGTATGGGGGGACAATAATGACTAAGAATAGGTTTCTCTGGAATAGGAAAATCAATACTAAGTCAGAGGTCATCTAAGGTAATGCCTTGACTCTAGACAAACATGCAGGATTGACCCACTCTGCCCAGCAAATAGTTTATAATCAAACCACACACACATGCTATGAACTGCAAGCATCTACATGAGGTTATCTGAATTGACTGGGATTTTATATATAGTGGTTAATTCAAGTTCAAGTAAGCAGGGTTATTCAGCTGCCTGACTGTAGAAGCTTTTAAGTGCTGAACTGGGAGCTGCCCTGGGTTTCTCATCATCACCCGCTCTGACCTACATTCGCAGGTAGTCTAGACTGACATGCTCACAAAGACACATGCTTGTGCTTTTTATGGTTGGTATCTTGATTAAATATAAAGTTGGGTAAAAAGGTTGAAATGCCTGTCATACTTAATTACAGTGTGGAGTGTTGATGTAGCTAAATTATGGTTTTAGAAAGGGAAAAGTGTGTGCTTGCAAACATATACATGCATCCTTAAGTGACTCATCGAGACGGTGTGAGTGAAAATCAAAAGTAAGGACAGTAGATGTAGGTTTGGTTAAACTGTCTGAAATGCCGTCTAGAGCAGAACAGCTCCCTTCAACTCCATTTTAAACAGTTTTATACACGACAGTTTATTTAGAAAATATGCTGAACCGAGCAGCTACTCACTTTCTGTTGGTCGGGCCGTTGGAGGCTCTGGGACTGGAGACTGTACCCTCTCCACCCTCTCCACCCTCTCCACCTTCTCCACCTTCTCCACCTTCACCTTCTCCACCCTCTCCACCCTCTCCACCTGGGGCTCTGCCAGTGAGGGCAGGGGGGCACTAGGAGCAGGAGGCGGGTGGTTGTTGTTGTTGTTCTCCACTGCACTGCTGGGCACCAAACCGTCTGACTGTCTGAAGACCGGCATCTCTGGCTTCCTGGAGGCTGCCTCCATTGGGCTGGTGACTGGGGACTGGAGCTCCACTCTTCTCTGAGGGGGCTCGGGGATCCTCGAGATTGGGGCTGAGGACATCTGGGAGTCCGTTCTCTTCGGAGGGGCGGGGGGCTCGTGCTGCCGTGTCATGCTGATCTCAGCCCGCCTGTTTGTGGAGGTGGAGTTGGAGGAGCTGTCCAGGAGTATACTCCGATTGCTGAGACTGACCTCAGGCCGCTTGAGGCCAAAGCGGGCGATGCCGGCACTGGGCGAGTTGTCAATCTGCTTAGAGGAGACCTCAATGGACATTTCTGGGCGGCGGGATGAGGCTGTGTCAGGGTTACGACCCCCTGATAGCTCCATGCGCCTCATGCCGGTCTTTGGAGAACGTGGATTGGTAGTCTCAGAGGGGGAGGATCGGGGGGAGGAGTATTCAGTGCTACGGAAGCTCTGGTCGTAGCTCCGCTGGCTGGATGTGGAGGAGGCGGACGAGCGGAGAGGATTGGTGTTCCGACGAGTCAGGGGCGAAGGGTTTGTGGAGGACTCTGTCTCCTCCACCTCAAACGACCGCTTCAGTGCTGGAAAACAGAGCATTTGGGATTAGACGACATGAGAATATTTTAGCCCGTAAACATGCTGCCTTAAATTGCAGCACTAGCATCTGTATGATATCTTACTGTATTTATTATTAAGGCATCTTATGATTAGCATTCAAAACAAATCATGAGGCCCTGAGGCAGACACACTTCAAATGACCTTTATTGAAACAAAGCAGCTACTGATTTTTTATTCAGTGTTGGCAGTGTAGAGATTATGAACCCATTTTGGAACAGAAAGAAAGTCCTTGATACGCCATAAAATCCTTTATTCTGTCGGGTCTGACCATCCTGAATAACAGCTTGTTAAATAAATTCTCTCCTCCAACACACATACACACCATGACTGAAACCTAATGGTTCATTTCCATTATATGTACATTTAATGGAGAATAAAGTATTCTGAATCTGGATAAAAACACTATGGCAGCAACTCCAAACCGCACCAGGACCTTGTTGCCTTCATCAAAAGGTTGTGGAAAAAACATAAGCGAAAGAAGGTCGGTTGCATTTGGTCGATTTAGCAAAGTAAAAGATGTTTGTGTTGTGAAAAAAGCAATGTAGCTGAAGATGAGAAGCAGTCAGCGTCAACACTGATATTTATACCACGATACGAAAAGATGCAATGTTAGCAGAGGAAGAAGAAGTAGCCTACTCAGATTATGTACTTAAGTAACAGTAGAACTACCAACATGTAGGAACACTCTGTTACAAGTAAAAATCCTTAATATTGAAAATCTACAAAAGTAATGGCATCAGAATATACTTAAAGTACCAAAAGTAAAAGTACTAATTTTGCAGGTTGGGCCACTAAAGTCTTATTTAAGTGTTGATGAAATGTAATATCATTAATCGAAATCCGCAAGTAACTAAAGGCATAGAATAAATGCAGTAGAGTAAATGTGCACGATTTAGCAGTGGGGTAGAAGTACAAAGTAGCACACAATTGAAATACTCAAGTAAAGTACCACAAAAATACCACAAAATTGTATCGAAGTACAGTACTTGAGTAAATGTACTTAGTTACTTTACACCACTGCACGTTAGCACGAACACATGACATGCTAGCGTCATAAAATATAATTTGACTTTTTTTAAAACTGACACTCCGGACACCTGCTAACAACACACACACTTTTACCGCATGTATCTGACATTATGTATGGTGGCAAGTCTGGGAAACGTGCAGTTGGCGGCAGTTTACTGTAGCAAAGCAATCCCCGTAAATAAAAACAATTCAGGATGCTAGTCTTACCGTTTTTAACACGCTTCGCATAGCTCGATATCATGGTGTATGGCATTTCTAATTCACTCGCGAGATGAATATTCCTCTAAAGTCACCAAGTAGATTCTAACAATATCGTCAGGTACAAAACACATGCACCATTAAATGAAAAGAGGGTGTTTCTTACATCTTCCCTTAAGTATGTGACGGCCGTTACCCGGCTTTTTCGCACACCTGTCATGATGAGAATCACCATAATGACCACGCCTCTAATTGATAGCGTGACCGTTTAGGCATTTTCTAATGTTGCTCTATCAACATTTGTATAAATAAATGATATAACATGCTGCTACTGTTTGCTTAGCGAATAAAAGTCAATATGTGAACTACAACCAGCCTGGTTTCACCTACTGTGTGTGGTGGGACATTACGGGACATAATTCACCGTGGTATTTAGTGTGTTGCACCACGGACCTGTTAGTGAGTGTACCTTGTTGTTGCTATCATTCTAGCTTGACAGTAGCATGTAGCAAGTTATTCTTTCCTCTGTAAACCTAATGGAAAATAAAGTGTGGAGTTCCATACTTAATGCGCCGCCGCCGACTCATTCATCAGCTCTACAGTAGCCTACTCAGTTTTTGTGGCTTGTATTTTTATTTTACCCTCTCATCTTCATATTTTTATTGTGGGGTCAGTACATTTATGTCCCACTTGATATGTCACTGCTTTGAAACGGAGAACACATGAAAAGTGAAAGATAATAATATTGTTTCAGATCAATATGATTGGCTAAATACATAACATGGATTTATTTTTGTATTAAGTGTCTGAAAAATCACCAAATACTTATCAAAGAAGTTCCCACTGTAACCAGCCCTCTCCCTCCCTGTCAGCTTATTATGTCAATGTTACATCACCAGCATTTTGTTTTTACTTGTTAAAGTTGTTTGGTAAAATTATTTTTCTCTAGCCAAGGGAGGCTCCATGTCAGTTGTGAGGCGGACACCACCAGGCTCTTCTTGGCTCAGAGTAGAGTATGGAATAGTGAAACATGGCCTCTGTCCCAGATAAACATACAATCCTGTGCATGCTTCTGGCCTACAGCGAGTCTGACTGGCCAAGCACCAGTATGAGGGAAGACCCTCTTCCTTGAACTCAATGTTTTCCATCCTTCATGTGTTTCAGCAGGCTTTTGTGTCTGATATCACAGGGTCTGCAGAGAAGCAGGAAGCTCATGGTGGTTCACACGTTCCACGGGATGCAAATGTGAAACACTGGGTTAACTGTGTGTCAGAGAGTTAGATTAAACTTTCCAATTTTCCATTGTGAATCTTTGATTGTAAAATGTACTCATCTTCAGCAGAAAGGACAGCAGTTAATGACAAGTTCATGTTACAGTCAGCAATGTTAATCAGCAATGACAACCAACCTTTAATAAGCTCACTGTGTATCACTCACAATAATTCATGTTAACCCAGCCACAGTAATACTCTTTCCCACTCTTGAATACACATGCTTATAATTCAATCAGATGTATTGCAAATGTGCCATGTGTTTGTTAGACACACGAAAAATGTGTGTTGTTGATTTGCCAGTAAGTCAGAAAACAGAATACCATAAATATAAATTCCTGTGTGTTAACTGAACGTGGCAATTTTGGCACTTCTTTATTACACGACTGAATATACAAGGAAACAAATAGAAAGAAAGGTCATTGTGACTTTGATATAAAAGTCTGATTGTATGTGGTTATAGTATGCATCTCCATCTCCACCATATGTCTCTCTCAATAAACTCTGTTAGCTGCTAACATGAAAACATTTGATTAAAGAAAACTTGCCTCGAGCCGTGTACTCTGTTCTTCTTTAAGTAGACAAAATAAGGGCAGAAATCACCTTAATGGAAAGAACTTGAGCAGTGAAAGTCTATGTGCAAAGGCATATTCAAAGTGCCACAGACCACTTCAAACTGTGTTTAATGTGATCTTGATATAATGACCTCTTTGCCTGGGATTGTGCTAACTGTGTGGTGGTGTGTGCCTGCGCTGTGGTGACAGAAAATCCTGACACAGTGAAGTCCCCACAGACACACTGGAGACAGAGGCCTTATCAGTTATGTTTCCCTCTCTCTTTCTGTATGTGTGAGTGTTTAAACACAGCTGTAGAGTAAAGCAAACACAGCCGTGTCAGCTCTGGTCGGAGCCAAACTCTCTGCCTCTGTTAACGTCATAGCGCACTGCATCCTGGGATTTGTATCATAGGGAGGTCACACTTTAATATCTCTGTTTCTATGTGTATTCATGTGATCTAGGGGTGTACTAATTAACTAGTATTGGTAAGGCAAGTTTATTTATATAGCACCTTTCAACACAAGGCAATTCAAAGTGCTTTACAAAAATGAAAAACATGATGAGGTGATTTTATAAAAAAGAACAACAATTCTTAAACATTTCCATTTTGCCCACAATAAACAGTTATTTAAGAGTCAAATATTACATTATTTTAAAAGAAGATTCACGTTACTGCCATATTATCTTTATTATGATCATTTTTAAGCCACAATGTCGGTCTTTTAGCCGTGTGTGTGTGTGTGTGTGTGTGTGTGTGTGTGTGTGTGTGTGTGCGCGCTTCTCTGAGGTGATAACAGTGATCACAGCCCTTTTAACCAAGCCAAAAATATACTTATTAGCACCAATGTGAACCAAAATTCAACACAAGTCCTTTCTTTTTAATTGGCTCTGTCTTCTCAGCTCTCGTTAACTCTTTTTGCCTCTCATCTAACATGGAGTTGAATCCCCATTCCTCTTGGACATCCTCTCATGTAAAATTGCTAGCAGACTGAACTGCCAAATAAGGAAGACATTGCAGCCAAGCATGATTTTTTTCAACTAACACACAATGAAACATGATTGAACTTCCAGAAAATCACATGATGATGCTACTCCGTTCTCCAGTGTAGCATTACTGCATGAGTACCACATGGACATTCTCCACGCCTCTCTGAGCATGACAGTAGATGAGCTGATGGGTCAACAAGATGTAGCACTGAAAACTACAGCTACAGTATAAGCATTACCTCAACTAAACTTACGCTACTACTACTGCCAGAAGCTACCCTCATACAACGAATTCTTAATATACTGGCATATTACTCCTAAGATTCTCACAAAATCAAACCTGTTTTGATACTATTCATCCTATATATTTAGGAATAGCCTTTCCATGTATTTGTTATTTTGTAATTACTTTTCTTTATGGTAGAGTTTTTATTGTTACTAGCAGATTTAGCTATTAAGTTTATTTCATATCAGGCCTCACAGTTTACTGTTCACCTGCCCACAACTGTATGACAGCTCTGTTAAATTACTGCTTATGCAAATGCAACATTTCCTCCTGCTGCTGTTCCACATAGAAAGCATTTTACAGACAAAACCCGAGATAGCTTTCATTGTGAAGTGTTTGGCTGCACAGTTAAGAGAAACACCAGTTGCAATTCTGTAAAAGAAAGCTTTTGTAAGTGTTTTTGTAGTACTGGACCACATTTGCTGTGACTATGATAGCCAGTGCCACGCGTGTCAACAAATCAGAAATAAACTTGGCATTATAGCCATTTTGACATGTGAAACACTCCGCTAACGCTATCACGCCCTCTGAAAAAAGGTTCTGCAATTTAAACCAGTAGCAAGCTCTGCATGTCAAAATGTGCTTTGGATCACTAGAACAAGAGCATTTGGCCTTAAGAATATTCTTAAAGCCCA